GTGTGGAATGCAGAAGAATGGTGGAATCGTTTTGGGCATCTTTCCCGTGTTTTCCAATTTCTTTCTATTTCCCCTTAAAACGCCCAAAACGGCTGAAAAGCCGTTTTGCATTTCCTTCACAAAATTTTTCCTTGTTTTCCAAAATTCGTTTTCGAAAATGACAAAGAGAACGCATTTTTACCGTTTTGCAAAATCGAAAACAGAAAACGGGTTGAAAACAGCAAAGAGAACTCCCCCTAAGTATTTCCAGAAGTGGAGATCAAAACATTCCAAATGAAAAACCCTGTTCCACCATAATGCAGGTGTCATATGACGATAATGGGACGAAAGATGACAATGCCCAAAGTGCTGATTATGTTACTTGTACGAGTGATTTATCATGTAATGGAGATCGATGCCAATTTTGTAGCTGAAACATCTGGGGCCAGCGAAAAAGCTACTTGCACTGGGCAACCCAATCCAAATGCTGCTGGAGCAGAGGGAATTCATGCAATCCTTAGTGAGAACAATGCTTCAGGTTTAGAGGATAGTCTAAGCTTTGTTAAACTCTCCTTTTACCTATCATTTCTATACATTCTTGAGTTTCTATTCCATTTCAGAACATATCATTCAAATTCTTAGATATATTTACTAGGTCTTTAGTCCTTCTGGTGCCAATGCCTTCAATCGTCTTTCTAGCTAAGTGTTAAGGTACTGCACATTTTATTATTCAATGGTGCTTTGATGACCGAGGAATTTTTCGTTCAACTCTATATCACGAATGAGGCAAGAATGTTCAAAGACACGTGGGCATTCAATAGGGCCCTTTGTAGCTAACGTGTGGAGTCCATGTGCAAAATAATGAGTTTTTTGAAGTAAACTAACGAGTAAAAATGGAGAGTATTGTTGAAGTGCCTTAAAAAAATTACTATCTAAATTTAAATATCCGATCAAATTAATGGCGACGTGAACTTCCAAATAAACCTTGAAGAACGAAACTTAGGTCTCCTATTTTTCTTTTGCATTTTCTAAATGTAACTTTTTCTTTTTGCTTTTTCAAACTCCATTCACCTTTCTTTTATGCTTTTCTTTTCTCCAAGTAATTTTTTATCATTTCTTCCACCATGCATAAAAAATAAAAATAAAAAGACGAGTATTCTTTGCTCATTATTATACATTACTTACTCACAAATTTAAGGTAGACACCCCTAATTTAATAATTATAAAGAGGAGCACGAGTCATGCATGATGCCATCGATCATACGTCCCAAGAAGTCGTAGGATGATCCACCTTCCATCAAAGCTTTATGACTCTTTTCTTTCATGTCCTTCACTTTCTTTCTAACTTCATTCTCGTTCACATTCATAAGCTGCCTAATTCCTCGCTCGATTTCTTCACAAGTCACAATGACTTTGCTGTCCATGTTAACCTCATTCCTGTAATCCATTTTTATATCGACTGCCATGCCCAATTCTACCACCATTTCGAAGGCATTGATCCGTTGCTCGGCGTACATCGGCCATGCAGCCATCGGCACCCCGAACCATAGGCTCTCTAATGTAGAATTCCAGCCACAGTGGGACACGAACCCACCAACAGCTGGGTGCGACAGCACGGCCAGTTGGGGTGCCCACCCGATCACATTTCCCACAGCTGAAGTCCTTTCCAAGAATCCTGTAGCAGACATAATTTAAGTAAATAAGCTATTGTTTGGCCCCCATTAAATTATATTACATTACATTAAATTTTTATCTCTTCATTTCAACCACACATTCATCAAACAAAATAATATTACACACAAATTAAAAAATTTTTAACCACACATTCTCACATCAATCACTATTCTAAAAACTTTCAACCCCCCAAAAATACAAAATAATGGGGGCCAAACAGGGACTAAGTGTACACTTCTTCAATCAATTACTTTTAGATGAGAGAGCACGTATGCAACTACTGTTGGAAAATGGTTTATTAACTAGTGAATTCGGTCAACTTTGAGCTTCAATTTGAGAGGGACCCATATTTCGATTTTAACCGGACCAATTATATTCACTTTCCACTTCGCGAGATGATTAAGGTAATATATTTATTTGTCGAAAATCATTTAAAATTAAATAGAATATTTGATATCAAAGTAATCCACTGAAAACTATAAACCAGTAAAAAATTTGATTTATTGAAAATTTCTAAATACTTATCCCAAGTAGGAAAGTTAGAAAATTTTGATATAAATGTAAAAACTTTCAAGAAATTTGGTGTTATCTCTAACAATTTAAACTTCACGATGAAAAAGTTAATTAACCAACCTTGGGGCAGAACTTCCTCCAGATTTTCATAATCAGATGGAGTTTCTACACTACCATCCTTCGGCCGCCTCCGTAAGGACCATAAGAATCTGTAGCCAGTTCGCTCTATTGCTACAGCTATTTCCTTGACTTGTTCCCGATTGAAACTCCCCAAGCTTCCAAAGCACAAAAACACAACCGAAGAAGCCGGCTGATTGTCCAACCACCTTAAAATGCCCCCGTCATCACCTAAATTCTGCTTAAGACTGATTACAGGCCCGACAGGAAAAACAGGTGGGATTTTATCATCAGAGGACAGAGATTTGATAGCATTTGTCTCGAGTTCGAGGAATGTATTAATCATGATTCCACGAGAACCTCGGATTCTCCGAGCAGTCGACACGACTAAATCCAGCCCGCCATTTTTTTCCAACATTACAGTAGGCAAAACCTTAGCCGGAACTGGATTTAGAAAACCTGGAATCAACAATTCTTTGTCCATGTCAAACTCAGTTATGTCCTGCTTGAACTCATCGGTAATAACCTGGGCCTGTTACATGTTAGGTTACTAGTTACACATATTTCCTCGAAATAATTTTCAACCCATATGGACATACAACTTTTAACAACAATAAGTTTCATCAATTTTTAACATAATCTACTATCTGATTTTGAGCTAAATGTTGGAGACTAATTTATGATTAGCTACGAGTCTACTAGAAAAAACCTGGACCTGTAACATGAGGGCAAGAAAGCCAGCGCCGGAGGTAAAGAACACGTAACTCGGAATCTTGAACTCATCGGCGACATCCATCAGGTTTACACAGAACATGTCGACTATAATTCCGACAACCTGGGACGACTCGGATTTAATGATTTCAAGAACCGCTTCTCTCACATATGGCTTATGACTGTCAAAAATCAGAGTGGCCAAAATGGCTGGGGGTTTTGATTCGAGTTCTGGGCCTAACTCGGGTTGTGCACGGTGGAGCTTGGTGAAACGCAGCCGTGAAGTGGCGGATGACGGCAGTGATCGTGTGTAAGTATCAAGGGATTTGTCATTCGGATGGATATCAACGAGAAGATATGTTATCGAGAGGTTTTGGTGGCGGCTGAGGATTAAGCGGCCAATTTCCACGGCGGAGACAAGGTGGCCCATCCCTGGACCGGGGATGAACACCAATTCTTTACGTTGGTCCATTATTGCAGCTAGCCTTATCACTAGTGTGGTTGAAATAAGTTTAAAATGCTTATATAAACTTTAATTATTTATGTTGTCAGTTTGTGATTGAAACAGTAGCATTGTAGCAACGAGTGAAAATTACCCTAAAGATGCCAAAAATTTAGAGTCCGTTGGATCGCCATTTTAGTTGGAAAAATCGAATCTTGCAGGAATTACCTGCAAGATATGTGGGCACAGTGCAATTAATTATATTTTGTTAAATGACAAACACTAACTCCGTTTGCTGGAATTACCTATCAACAGGGCCGGTCCTGTGACTGTCGGGGCCCGAGACGAAGTCCATAAATTAGGCCCTTAAAATCAACGTAAATGCAAAATTC